CATTTTCTTGTTTCTCATGTCTAATCTGTTTTTTGTTTTTTTGTTTTTTTTTTTATTGAGACAGAGTTTCGTTCTTGTTGCCCAGGCTGGAGTGCAATAGCGCAATCTCAGCTCACTGCAGCCTCTGCCTCCCAGGTTCAAGCGATTTTCCAGCCTTGCCTCCTGAGTAGCTGGGATTACAGGCATGCGCCACCATGCCTGGCTAATTTTGTGCTTTTAGTAGAGATGGGGTCTCACCATGTTGGCCAGGCTGGTCTCGAACTCTTGACCTCAGGTGATCCACCCACCTCGGCCTCCCAAAGTGCTGGGATTACAGGCATGAGCCACTGCACTTGGCTATGTCCAATCATTTTTAAATGCATACTGGGTCAGTGTGAATGATGAGTTATAAAGACTCAGGATTCTGTTATTTTCCTTTGCAGAGTGGTAAATTTTGTTGTAGAAAGGACTTACATTGGAGGTTTGGTTTAAAGCTTTATTAAGCCTCACCTATTTCAATTTTGTCCTTATTCCCATGGGATTTCAGTGGAAAGACCAAGTTGTTTACCAGGCTCCTTTAACTTCACAGAATTTGAACTCCAAATTCTGTCTTTGCAGCACTGGACAGCTCCTGAAGTCACTGCTCAGCTCTTTGAGCCTTCTAGCTGATGTTTTCCACTGGACTCCTGGGAATCTCACCCTGTACTTGCATAGTTCAGAAATAAGCAAGTAATGTGAGGGGAGTTTGTATGTAGATTTGAGGGCTCCCCCTTCTGTGTCTCCTTCCTCTGTAAGATCTCTTCCCTCAGTTTCCAGCTGTATTGGCTGCTTGAAACTCTGACTTCTGGTTCCTCAGCCCAGTAGACTGTAGCTTTCTGCCTGAAATATATTCACCTCATACTGCATGAACGTGCTCGCAGGCAAAGATACTTAAGAGTGGCTCTCACCTTGTCTCACTTTTTCTTACCTTGTCTCACTTTTTTCTAGGTTCATAGCCCCTCCAATTTTTACCTGATTTTGGTTGCTCTCTAGTACTTTCAAACAGTTGTTCTTTTTTAAAAAATTTATTGTATTGTATTTTTGAGACAGAGTCTCGCTCTGTCACCCGTGCTGGAGTGCAGTGGCATGATCTCGGCTCACTGCAACCTCCACCTCCTGGGTTCAAACAATTCTCCTGCCTCAGCCTCCCAAGTAGCTAGAATTTTGGGTGGCCATCACCATGCCTGGCTGATTTTTGTATTTTTAGTAGAGACCGGGTTTCGTCGTGTTAGCCAGGCTGGTCTTGAACTCCTGACCTCAAGTGATCCTCCCACCTCAACCTCCCAAAGTGTTGGGATTACAGGCATGAGTCACCACACCTGGCCTCAAACAGTTGTTCTTTATATTTTGTCCAGAGTTTATCACTGTTACTGGCTGGAGAATTAGGCAAATTAGCCTACCATGATAGGAAGCAGAACTCCTCAATCCTTCTATCTGCTTCCCCCTCCTGTTTCTCTCAGTTAAGAAAAAATAACATACTATTTATGTTTCATAGATACGTATCTTTCACAGATCTTTTCTTCTCTGAGGATATTAATGATAGTGGCTTTTTATTTTTATTTTATTTATTTATTTATTTATTTTGAGATGGAGTCTCACTCTGTCACCAGGCTGGAGCGCAGTGGCACAATCTTGGCTCACTGCAACCTCCGCCTCCTGGGTTCAAGTGATTCCCCGGCCTCAGCCTCCTGAGTAGCTGGGATTACAGGCACGTGCCACCACGCCTGGCTAATTTTTATATTTTTAGTAGAGACGGGGTTTCACTATGTTGACCAGGCTGGTCTTGATCTCTTGACCTCGTGGTCTGCCTGCCTTGGCCTCCCAAAGTGCTGGGATTACAGGCGTGAGCCACCGCACCCGGCCGTGTTTTTTGTTTTTTAAGTTTTCTTCTCTATTTCTTCTCTCTGTTTCTTCCAATTTGTATTCTTCTGTTGATTATTTGTTATTTGGTCTCTAACACTTGTGTTAGAGGGTTTTTTTTTTTTCTTTTCCCCTAGTGACCTTTGTTGTCAAATAATGTTTAAAAGTAGGAGACTAAAAATCAGAGTGAAACCTCTGTGCCTGTTCTTGGCAGAACCTGTAGTGCAGTTCACTGTAGGGTGATCAGGTTGGCCTGGTGTTTGGACCATAAATGTCAGTTTCTTTAGGTATTTTGTCGTGGGCTTGTCAGATTCCCCAGAGAGGTTTCTTCCTATCTGTTCCCCAGAGGATAAAGGTTTGTTACCTGCATTCTGAGAGCTTCATAGGAAGAAGGCTGGAGGCTCACCATTCAGTGGATATAGGTTCACTTGATCTCTCTATGTTAGAGTTGTAGCCTTGTCCTTAGCTGTGCATGGTACCTAGTGCCCCCTAGGCCTGAAACTTGTTTTTGTCCTCTTCAGAGAATAAATGTCCCGACTGGTGGGACATAGCCAGTTGCCTGGTGGTGTGGAGTCGACAGAGCTTCTTGCGATCCAGCTGCTTCTCAAAGAGCCTTTAACTCCTCTTCCTTGCTTCAGTCCCCTCCCCCACTTCCAGAGGTACCCGGTATCATTTCATGAGCCCTTTGGGGTTCTCTGGACAAATTGGGTCCTCAGCCTTCCACACTGAAACTTCAAGTCTGTCTGTCTTGAGTGCATAGTCTGTTTTCACTCATTTATCTGCTTTCTAGCCTCTAAAATTCTGATGATGGTTTCTTCTCTGATTTTCAGAAGGGAAGGAAACTAACTCAGAAGGCAGCAACTAGCTGGCTAGGCTGTTTTCATTGGACTGGTTGATTCAAGTGCAGAATCTCCAAGTCCATGGACTTCAAGTACTTCTGAGTAGTCAGACCATTAGGGAAAATTTTGCAAAAAAAACCCCAAAAAAACCAAATAAGTGCCTGTCAGTCAGGGTGAGTACATACCACAGTGGCAAATATAGGTTAACACATTTGAGAATAAATAAACAAAAAGAGAAACGATTTGGGCTACATCATGGTCTAGGAAGGAGACTGAGAATTGATACAGACCTTTCCTGGGGCTCTCTGCCTGTGCTACTGTGCTGAGTCTCTGTATCTGGCTCTTGTTCCTGCTTCAAGGAAATGCAGAGGATCTGGGGAAGCTCTGAGCAGAGGAGAGTGAAGTGATAACCTTATAAGGGCAGGTGGTGAGTACTGGGATTCTTCAGCCTAGAATACAGAGAGGTGGCCTGTCTCAACTGAAAACTGTGGCCAGGGTGGAGAAGGCAGATTGGAGCCTGGGCACCAGAACCTGAGATGCTAGGAGAAGAGGGTTGTCTCTGAAACTGCAGCAGGCAAGATTGGCACAAATAAAAACACAGTTTTCCATGGCGGGCTAGAAACTTGGGAAACTATTAAAAGCAGCTCTTTTGATAGGTGATTTAATTCCATAAGGGTTTAGACAGATGAATGACAGAGCTCCTGCTCCACTAAATACAAAAAGAGAGAGTAGCTCCTAGGAGACGCTGACACATACATAACCTTCCATTTAGACACTGAGGAGGTCAGGATGCTCTTACTGGGCTGTTAGCAGAACACTAGGCTGGATGGAGAATGAGCAGCTTGGTGTAGTAGGAAAAACTTGACCCATATTAAGATATAAAGTCAAACCTTGACTCCTCAGCTTACTTACTATGACCTTGAGCAAGTTCTTAACGTCTCTGACACTCCCAAGATTCTGCTGAAGGTTAAATAAGACAGTTACATAACCTACAGTGTGTTCAATAAAGCAAGGTTAGCCTGATTCCTAAACTGAATTTATCTGGGCCTTTATTTAACACATATTTGCTGAGCTCATATCAAATACCAAGTTGGGTACATATATCTTCCCTATCCTAGAAAAGCTCATGAAGTGAAAGCACAGCTCTGCTCCATCCTGCAGCCCCTTCCTCGGCATGCTCTGAGGCTGTGAAGGTGAGCATTGCTGGGTCATTTCCTGGCTGCAGGGTGGTGTGCCTGGGGCAGAGAATATCTGAGCATCTTACCTCTTCTCAGCAAACAACCCCTCCTAGCCACTTTCCTAATAACTAAGTAAAAGCTTTCACAACTTTCTGAGTAATACAACACGGTGGTGATGTGGTTTGCAGGCCACTTCTGCTTTTTCATTTACTTGTTTCTACTGTAGTCTCCAGATGGTCAGAGTTGAAGGTTTTTGGGGAAGTGGAGGGGGTGGGAGTGAGGGGCATAGGAATAGTTCCTGACACTGTGGGAGAGTGAGGTTCACTCCCCTCCTACAAGAAATGTGTTCATAGCCTCTGGGTGCCCACATCATTATGATTAATTATGATGAGCTCAGATGAGATCGTGCCTCCTCCCAGCCAACTCTGTTCCCCATTCCTTAGTATCCGTCAGGGAAGTTCCATGAGTCTCTTCTCTTGCCTGGTGTACTGTAGCACCTTTCCAGTGACCACTAAACCCGCCTGTTCAAAACCCAGCTTTTAAGATCTTTCCATCCTTCAGTATCAATTATATATTTTATTGGCTTTAATTAAACTTTCCCTTTGATCCAGTGTTAAACTACGTTGTGAGCCTTTTTTTTTTTTTTTTCAGACAGGGTCTTGCTCTGTCACCTGGGCTGGAGTGCAGTGGTGCGATCACAGCGCACTGCAGCCTTGGCTTTGTGAGCTCAAGCATTCCTCCCACCTCAGCCTCCGGAGTAGCTGGGACTACTGGTCAGTAGCTGACCCCCTGAGTAGCTGGCATGCACCACCACACCCAGCTAATTTTTTATTTTTATTTTTGTAGAGACAGAGTGTTGCTATGTTGTCCAGACTGTCTTGAACTTCTGGCCTCAAGCCATCCACCGGCCTCGGCCTCCCAAAGTGCTGGGATTACGGGTGTGAGCCACCACACCTGGCCTAGTCACGAGATTTTCTTTGACCTACTGCTGAACCTCCTTTCCCTGAAGGTTGTGATGTTGGGAGGGCTGAGCCCATCCTCCCTTTCATCTTGCCTCCACCATCAGGACTTGTTTAACCTTCACCCTGTTTCTTCCCTTTTCTAGAACTCACGTGCTGTGTGTCAGACTGAGCTTTCCCTGATTCATTCTACAATCCAAGACTTGCTGCACTGTCCTGCTGATGTTCACAGTCGTGCCTGGGAAGGAGGAAGCCCCACTCCCAGTACATTTCAGTGGGAGACCTCTGCGTGCATCCATGGAGACGCAATGGGGCGGGGAAGGAACTGTGGGAGTGCACGTTCCAAATCCTGTGTCTCCACGTGTGGATCAGCAGCACTTCGCTTTCTTGTCAGAGACCTCGCTGTTACAGAGCGAGACCTGCTGAGAAGTGAGGGGCTGAGGGAACCCCTCCACCTCCTCCCTTCTGCAGCACCCTGCGCCCCTCCCAGCAACAGCGGTCACTTGGCAGTGGGGCTGCTGCGAGCTCAGAGCCGCTGTCACCCTGCATGTGTCCGCTCAGCTCGGTCTTATGCTGTATAGTTACTAAATATGTACAGGAGGGCCATGGCATCTTTCTGAGTGGATTTTTCTTAAGAAATGTGCCAGTGTTTATGAGATTCATGGTATTTCCCTGTCCTTGCCGTTACCGTCACTCAGCTTTTTCTCCATAGGCTTCATACTTTTTTTTTTTTCTTGAAATGGGGGAATCTGCTGTTTGCCCCTGGCATTCCTATATGTGACCCTCCCTCCTACTCCTCCAAGGAACAGAGTTGCCTGAGGTTCTGACAAAAGATAAGCCTGTAAACTCATCATCTGTGTTTTGTAGTTGGAGAGAAGCTGGTGTTCTGCCCAGCTCTGCTTGGTCCCAGACAGCTCCAGCAAGAGCAGGTGTTAAAAGTGGCAAGCATGTGTATCACTGTGATGAGCCGTTTGCTTACTGCCCTGTTCCCTTGCAGCCACACCAGCTGATGAAGAACTGCTGCCAGGTGGGTCCTTCAGCAGGCCACAAATGACCTAGTTTCATTTTAAGCAGACAGACTCTGTTTGGCCCAGGGGCGTGGAGTGAGAGAACTGTGTTTGTGGGTATGAGTCTGTATGGCCAACCCCATGACCCCACCCCTCCAGCCCAACATCCTGTGAGCACATGTGACCTGGGCCCCAGGGACCTGTCTGTTCCTCTGGCTTGGGCTCTTGGCGTTTCCCACCTGCCCTCGGTACCAGCCCTTGGTGGCATCACAGTTGGCCACTCAGCTGCTCTGTGCTGGCAACTGCAAGGATAGGAACAGCTCAGCGCCCGATGAGCTCCCTGGGCAGATGTGAGGCTGGCAACTCCCCTGCCCTCTGTTTGCAGGCATAGGCCATGGGGCACAGGGTCACAGTCCCATGAAAGACAACTGGAGTCTGACCTCCCAGCCATCTATGGGGTGACTGGGAGACAGCTGGATAGCAGGTATGAGAGGCCCAGATAGCCAAGTTGTTGCAAGACAGAGTGGCTACAATTGAATTGACCCCCTGGGAAGAACGAGGTAACACAGTAAGGGTAATGATGCTCTAGATGTCTGTGTCCTCGGAGGCTGGGCTCCGCTTGGCAGAGGGAGCGTGGTGTGTGAGGTGGAGGGCGGTTTTGCAGACATCTCAGCTGCTTTTCTGAGGAGGAGTTGGTTCTCATCTCAGGCTTCTGCAAGGGCGATCATGGGATGTTTCTACCACCACCCACTCTTGGAGCTGTACTGGGTCTTGGCTTGGGGCCCCGAGGGTGGGGCCTGTGTCAGAAGCGTTTGGTGAGATAGGTGGAGGTGGCAGGCAGGTATTCTCAGGGTTCCCACTGA